TTAGAGCCACAGCCATAGAAAGATTACCACTGAAGTGTGAGCAGCACAAAAGGAGGATCTAACGATACATCTATCTTCATAATAATCCCATGACACAGGTTGCACCATGCTGATTTTACAGATGAAGAGTTCACCTAAAGAAATTTCTACTCAATGTATTCCTCTCCACCACACCTTCCTGTGTCTCCTTCAAAGCCCCAGACTACTCATTTAAAAATCTGAAATATGAAAAGGTAAAAACCCTAAAATCACCTCACTTCTAAAATGATCTGTCCTCAAACTACAAGGTATACTTGGGAGCAGCCTGAAGGAGAGAAAAAACATGCACAAACCAGGTTCAAATCTCTTTGAGGCCTTTTGGGCCTGCCTTAGAATTACAGCTCTGCACTCAACTGAGTAATTAATGCTGTGAGTTATTTAAACGCACAGAGGATCAGTTGCCTCCTCTTGAAATTTAGAGTAACAACACCCACATTAAGGGGCACTGATAAAGTGTCAAGCTCTGATTAGCCTATAGAACCACTTACTGGCCTCAGTGTTAGCTCCTTTCTCATTCTCCTCTGATCCTAAGGAAAGGCAACACAGAGCACGAACAGCTGTCAAAGATGCAGAACCCACCATACGAACCTTTTCTTTCTTCTACTTACCAAACTCCTTTTTTTATATTTAGGTATAAGTTTATATGATTTTGCATGATCAAACAGGAAAGCTTTACTTCTGATAGTAACTCTAGGCTCACAAATTTGCCAACTCCTGCCCAAGATTAAATACTACTTCTTTAGAAGATCCTGGAGAAGTCTACCAGTGAAGTGTGCTGGAAATTTTTTGGTAATTGTTCATATGTTTGTGTTTTTGAATGATCTTTAATGTGTCAGTTGACATCCTCCAGAGAGCTGCCTGATGTAAGTATATAAAACAAACCTGGTTTACCAAACAAGGTTTTCTCTGCTCCCCAAAGAAACTGTTGATCGTCATGCCAGACAGTGCTTCATTTCCTAGCCTACCACTGCAAGCTCAATGCATTTTAACAGGGTACAGAGATACATCAGAGTGAGTGTTACTTACCCACTGTTGGGGACAGCTTGATTCAAATGATCTTCTTAACTTCTTACATTGAGAAGCATCCTCTGTGTTCTCATCTAAACACTTCCAGTACTCATCCCGGGCTTCCCAGCAAACCTGCCTCTCCTTCATAGATGGGGCTGCCATTCCTAGGGGTGTCAAGCTGTCGGCCAAAACAACATTGTACATTAACAATAAGCAAGTATGGGGGGGGGGAGGCAAGAAATAAAACAAAACTATCATTCCCGCCTTCTTTTTTATTTTTTCACTCTTTTATTTAATCATAGCTGTGTACATTAACGTAATTATGGGGAACAATGTGGTTTTATATACACTTTGAAATACTTTCATTAAACTGGTTAACGTAGCCTTCACCGCATTTTCTTAGTTGTTCAGATATTTATATTCTACCCTTAGTAGATTTAACATGTACCCTATTCTCGCCTTCTCTTACAAGTTATGAGCCAACTGAATCTTATCAGTTCCCTAAAGACACCGTAAGAACACTCGCTCTGGCCTATCTCCTGCGCTATGTAATCTGATCCCCGCTGGAACGGCAGCGAGGTCTCAGAAAACCCGGGTTAGAACAGTCTGCCCCCGAGTCGGGCAGCCCGAGGGTTCGCTCCAGGCCCGCTTCCCCACAGGTAAAGCTGTGCCCATTTTACAACGCTGCCGTGCGAACCAAGGCGCTGTGCAAGTAAGTGCGCGGGACACGATCACCGCGCAGGACCGAGCGCCGCGCCGTTTGCACTAGAGGAACCTGCGGCTCGGGAGACAGAGGGACGTCCCGGCCCGTTCCCCACGCCCCGCCCAGACTCCCCGGCCGGCCGACCTCTCCTTCCGCCCGGTCTTCGGCACTGTGGGCAGGGAAGGGTCACTCAGCCCCACAACAGGCGGAGGACGGCGCGGGGCCGGGTCCTGGCGCTGCAGGGTCGCCTCGCGGTTTCGAGCTCAAGAAAGGCGGACTTTACAAACCGCAAAAAGGAATCCAGGCAACCAAACCGCCGGCCTCTTACTG